CTTCACTAGCTAATTATGTGCACAAAGTAGGTTCTAAATAATGTTAATTCTTTTCTCTCCCTTTCCATTAAAACAAGCCATCTCTCTTGGGTAAAAGTTGTTCCCCACTCTAAGGCAAAAATTAGGAGGACAATGTAGGTGATTTTATTTTGGACAATTAGCAGCTTTGTTCCCTTTATTATTATTTTGAAAAGTTTTCCAGAGCGGACAAAGGTCAGTCCTCCTCCTGGCCTGCAGGAAAGGCCATCGCCTCCAAGTCAGTCTTTTCTATTTCCAGCTCCCCAAGTCCAGAGAGCAATCACCTCTGCCTCCTCAAGGGCCACGCAGCCAACCGTCAGCAGCTCCGGGCCTGAGCCTAGCTGCGTTTCCATTTCCATAAATTTACATCAAATTTGTGCTGAATCATAGCCGCCTCCCCCGCGCGGAAGAAACGAACTATGTTATCAGTAAATGCAACATATTTGAATAATGGGAGAGAGCGCCGTGCCTTTTCCCTCTGACTCTGCAGAGGCCACCGCCTGGACCCTGTCCCCATCGGCCTGGGCTGGCCGCTCTCCTCCCTCCTGCCATCCGCATCCTCTGGCCCCTCACGGCGCGGCCAGCGCTCCCGGGCCTCTCGCCTCCTCCCCGGCCCAGCCTCGGGGCACCCCTGTCCGGGTCTCGGGACCCCCCTCGGCTGGGGGCGCCCTCCCGCCTCTGCTCCTCCGCTCCTGCCTCCCGCGAGGCCCCAGCCAATCATGACCCAGCTCGCGCCCCCTGGGGGTGCCAATTGCTGGCCCGGCCTGCCGGGCTGTCATCAGCCCCACTCAGTCGCGCCTGCACCTCGGCGGCGGTTCAGCGGGGAGTGAGCTGCCCGCGGCCCCCACCTGCGCCCGGCTGATTGGCAGCCGCCGGGCGGAGCCGCCAGCCGCCGCTGATTGTTTGCCGCTGGGCGGGGAGGGCCGGCGGGGCGCTAAGGGAGTCAGAGCCGCCTGGATTCAGGGGTCCGGCTGGGTCCTCCGCCTGCCCCTCGGTGCCTGCTGCAGGCGGCCTGCAGGGAAGTGATGGATGAGGTAGAGGAAGGGAAGGGAGCTTATCTTTCACAGAACTGAAGCCAGTGGCCCAGGGGACCTCAGGTCTCAGCGCCCTGTGGGAGGCCCGGTTGCGGTGCACACTGGGACCTGCAGTCCCTGGCCCCGCTAAAATTATGAGCATGGACGTTTTTTAAGCAGCTAGGCCATGCAGGCTTCCAGCAGACCTGCCAAAACCACCAGAGCAAGAACTGGGAACTTTGGCTCAGATAGAGCTAATTTAAACCAATGCGTGCGTGCACACGTAACATTATAAACCACTGTCAGATCATGAGGTAAGAGAATTGCTAAAATTAGGAACTTAGTAAGAATGTCTCATTTTTTTCTAAAAGAAAATTGTTTTTTTTTTAATTTTAATTTTTATGGTATGCATTTGCAGGAGAATGATTACATTCCTCATGAGGAGTTGATACATCTCAGTTCTTCAGGGCTGGGGATGAAGCTCAGTTCGAATGTCCTGGGTTCAATCCTTAGTTCTGGAAGGAAAGAAATAATTTTCTTTCCGTTTTGGATTTCTTAATTCAGGCAGGAGAAAAATAACCAGGGAAAATAATGACCATAAATATTGCTCTAACCAGAGAAAGCTGAGTCAAACCTCTACTAGAGATTTGGTTTGGTTGTTTTATTGAGAACTCTAACATGTTCCGGTGGACAGTCAGAATCACAGTACTGCTTGCAAAAGCTTTCAAAAGCTCCAGGGCTGGACCTTCCAGGACATGGTCAGGATGATCTTATAACCCACAAGGAGAGTCTTAAGTTTCTAACAGTACATTCAAGTCATCCTTTTTCCCCCAATCTCCCCAGAGATTTCTTTGTTTTCATCAATATGTGCTGGCTCAGTTTCTTTCAAATTAAACTATTTTAGAGTTCCCAGATCTAAAACTCTGACAAACTTTTAAAAGTGAGAAACATCATTCAAAAGCATCTAAGCACTTTTTGCTAACATGTTAGTGCATATAAATAAACCAATAAAACTGTCTCGGGGCTAAGAATATACATGGAAAAATTGCATCTCGAGAGAGGATTCTTCAGAAAGCCTAAGAGGATGTGAAAATAGAGTCTAAAGCCAATGTCACCATACTCTGTCCAGGTGAATTTAAGACATAAGCACCTCATATTAAATTGGTCCTGTGTACATGGGTGTCAGCTGGGACATTTAATGCACTGCTTTATTTGAGGTTAAGATAGTTGGTGAGTGATTTTATTGTTGTTTTCCTTGAAAACAGCTAACCACAATATAATTAGCTTTGTTTTTGTCAGCCAGGGCTGTTGCTGATGAGGTACCCAGAGGCCTTCTAGTCTAGGTGCCTAAAAGCTTAAACTGGATTTAATTATTATTATTACTCAATGTCAGGCTACATGAATGAAAAGAGATAAAAAAAGAATCGCTTGCAGCTACAGTGCCTTTGTCTGTGATTTCATCACATCTCACAAGCTGAGCAGGTTCAATCTGGCACTTGAGCCCTGAACTTCTAAAGAAAACCCAGGCAGCTCAGGTAACTGTTTCAATTGCTTGGAAAGTTGGTGTGCATGCTGGGCAAGGTAGAGGCTTGCTACTCTTTGATCTCTTCCCCAATTTCATCTTTAATTACTTTAATAAGTATCTGACTTATTTCATGGAAGGGAAGAAAATAGGGGGAAAGGGAGTCACAGAGAGAGTTGTCCAAAAAGCCAGAATTTCTAGAGTGAGGATTCCTTGTTTCCCAGCTCATTATCTGTGCTATTGCCTGGAATACCAGAGGTGGCTCCCAACCAGCAGCAGGGAGTGAGGAAGAGCTCAGCTACAGGGGCACCTGGGAGGGGCTTTCCCGTCTGAGGGCCAGCGGACAGCATGGTGCTCACAGGGCGGCCCTGGGAGGCAGAGGGAGCAAGTTCTGCACACACTCTTCACAGTCTATTTCATCCACAGGTAAGAATGAAGCCAGACGGTTCGCCAGGCGGCAATATATCAGCAGACAGCACCTTGTTTTTTAGGTAGAAGCAGGCTGTTAGGAGCAAATGCTTGTTGCTGAGTTAATTAACCCTAGACATTCTGCTCAGGGGTGACCTTTTTTCCATTTCCTTAGACTGAAAAGATAGGTTGCTCAGAATAGTCAGAAAATCAGAAAACTTATCTACATTCTAGCTTTTTTTAAAAATTTCTTTCTGTTTTCATTCTTTTAGAGCATGAGTTTGCAAGCCTCCAGGACAGGGACAATTGGCTGCAATGTTCTTGAGCTTTTCCAGAATGAGTACAGTATTCGTATACAACAGGCACAAAACCAATGTGCTGACTAGTGGGCTCCTCAGAGCCCTTGATCTGCCAGAGCCTGCTGCAGAAGCTTCCTTGACTAGCTGAGGACCCAGCGGGTTCTGATGGTAGGTCCAGGGCTGCCAGGGAGAGTTCAGGTAATCCATGCCCTTCATCAATAGTGTCACGGTCTGTAACAGCATATGTATCAGTGTGCCCCAAAACCCAGTGGCTTAAGCACCTATTTATGACCTATTTATGACCTAATTTTGTGACTCAGCAAATTGGGCAAGGCTCAGCTGGGCAGTTCTTCTGCTGGGCTCCTGTGGGCTCATCCATGCAGCTGGAGGTCAGTGGCCACACTCACGTATATGGTTTTTGTAAGTTGTTGGCTGGAAATCCTACATCACCACCTAAGCCAGCGATGTGGGGCTTTTTTCCTTGCTTCCCAGGAGCAGTAAAAAAAAAAATGAGCTCCACTGGCTAAGGGCTTTAAATCCTTTTCTTGTTGGGTATTTGCAAACATTGCTTTGGTCAAAGCAAGTCCCATGGCCGAGCTCAGAGACAGAGACAATAGCAGGCACAAGGACGGTCAATTATTGTCACCATCTTGAAATCTGCCATCCCAATCAAACCAAAGATAGTTTATTATCACCAACTCCCAGGTGAGACTTCAAGTTTTTAAAATGCTGGGGCAGGCATGGGTTCTAGTTGAAACTATGTTTCTCCACTTTTCAGGGTGCAGCCTCCTCATCTAATAAATAAATCCGTCTCACAGGGCCCTGCCAGGATCAGCAGGGGCTAAGAATTTGAAAGAATGTTGGCTGTGATGCTTACACAACTGTAAATCGGGCTCATACCTTCTCACTTGATCTGTTCCACTCAACTGGTGATGTCTCAGTCAAGCACAGAATGCTCACTATTGGTGGTGATGCAGGTAGGAGTTGGGGGTCTGGGCACAGCACCATCATTATGAAATTGTCTACCTTTTCTATCAGGAGAAAGTCTCGTCTTTCTGATGGAGAGATTTTACCCCTCGCTGGGCTCCTGTTTTTTTTTTTTTTTTAGACAGAGTCTTGAACTCACTATGTAGCCAGGCTGGCCTCAAACTTGCAGTGATTCTCCTGCTTCAGCCTGCCCCAGGGCTGGGATATTAGGCATGCGACACCACGCCCAATTTGGACTCATGTTAAAGCACCACCCTATGAGCTTTTGGCCCTTTTCAGAATTTAATAACGTATTAACGTTTCATTTTCATTTGCTTTTAAAATTTTATGACAGCAGATACTTTTAAAAAATAAGCAAATGTTAGGTTAGTAGCTTTAACACGGTGTCGAGTATATAGAAACACGTGGTTGCTCCACGGGTGCCTGTGACCAATGACTGTAGAACACCTACTATGTGATAGGGTGGCCCCAACCTTCCTGCCCTGGCGGAGCCCACAGCCTAGGGGTGGCCTCCTGGCCGCAGGCAGGGCGGCTGCGTGCCGGGACTGGCTTCCCCAGGTGGCCACCCACCGCCCCAGGACAGTGACTGCGGGGTCGGGGTCGGGGGCGATCTGCGAGGCGGCCCGGGTGTCGCCGGGCCTGGGCCGCGTCTGCGGCCTGCTCGCGGCTCCTCCTCTTCTTCCCGCGGCGGCGGCTGACGTGGAGGCCGGAGCTCGGCGGCCGCAGGAGGCGCTCTGCGCTCGGCGCTCTCGGGGCCGCGCGGGCAGGCGGCGGCGGCGGCGGAGGAGGCGGAGGACGAGGAGGAGGAGGAGGAGGAGGGGAAGGCGTCCCGGAGGCGCGCCTGCGGCGGGAGGAGGCCATGAACGGCGATCGCACCGAGAGCGACTGGCAGGGGCTGGTGAGCGAGGTGAGGCCAGGCGGCGGCCAGGTGCCCCGGCGAAGCCCAGCCGGGCGGGCACGCGCGGGGACAACGCCTCGTGGGCTCCGCGCGCTGCCCCGCGCCACCTGCGCGCCGCGCGTTCCTCTCTCCTGCTCGGGTCTGCGCGGCGCCCCCGTCTCCCGCGCCATCTGGGCCAGCTTTCGGGGAGGCCCTTTCCCCGGAGCAGGTTTGGCCCTGGAGTGGAGCGCGCAGCTTTGGGAGCCGGGAGGAGAAGCGGCCGAGCCCCACCTGCAGGCCTGGTCACCCCTGTTTTCCAGACAAACGATTGGACGCCTGATGCTGAAAGGGAAAGTGGAGCCGAGGGGGAAATCCGGCCCGGCCACACCTGGGCCAGGTGGAGAGACCTGCTGGGTTGGGGGTGGGGGCGAGTTCCAGGTCCCCACAGCTCATGCCTTCCTTAGTTCAACCAACACGTGTTTGCTGCGGGCCTACTATGTGTGTGGCTTTTTAGCAAAGGAGCCAGACAGGTGCAGAAGTCCAATCGGTGAAAACAGAACACTGTGCACTCTAAACTGATTTTGTCTTAAACACAGCCCAAGGGTCTACCTCAGACTCCCATGCCATTTCCTCTCCAGCCCACCCTAGGGGGTTGTAGGCTCAGAAGAGGCTGCTAGCTTCTCCAGGTCAGAGGGTGCGGCTGGGGCCCCCTCTCTCAGGTAAGCCTCCCGGTGTTATCCCCATCTGTGCTGACAGTTAGCTCCTCCGCTTACCTGAGCCCTGAATGTCCAGCGTGTGCATCTTATTCAGGAAGGGAAATTCCTCTTCGGGAGTAAGATGTTAGGGTTCCTGCCCTAGGTTATTCGTTTAGAATGGGACAGAGCTCCTGACCTACAGTGTTAGGGTACCTCATACTGCAGCCCAGCCCCATCTCCTTCAACAGCCAGGCTTCCTGACATGGGGCCGTCAAGACTCATACTTTGTAATGAGTGAGGATAGAGATGCTCATCCATAGAGGCCCAGAGTTGGGCTCCAGAATAGTAGCAGGATGTCCACTGCTCCAACAGGACATGTCAAACGCCTACTGGAAGTCAGCTACACAGTTAGTGTGCTTAGACTCCAGTGGTCGACAAGCCAGACACCCCCTCTTTCCCTCAGCAAGCTCCTGGGGCTAAGTGGTGCGGTCTTGGAGGACAGTCATGTAGTCATAAGCACGTATTAAAAGATGGGCTGCCATTGAACGCTGAATTGCCTGGTTGTCCCCCGAGTGTGCCTCTCACCTTGGGTTCATCCCTACCTTGCACTGACCATACTGTACTGTCGAGAACTGCTTTCCTTAGTGGGCTGTTCGGTTTGGTTCTTTATTCCCAGTGCCAACACACTGAGCACTGTACGTAGCAGGTGGGCAATAAAAGCTTGTTGAATAAGTCAGTACATGCTACAGTGGGACTTTTGGGAGTCATCACACCCATCCCAGCTGAGTTCCCCTAATGGAGTGTCATCTTGCATTCCACATGCATTTGCTGAAGATCTAGAATGCAGAAGACCCCCAGCCAGGTGCTGTGAGGAATGTGAAAATGAATTCAACTTTCTTTCTACCTTAATGATAACTTTCAGCTACTTCTGAATGCATCCTCAGGTTCAACATTTCATATGAAGCAGCTAAGCATTTTTCTTAGCTGTCTGAACTTCAGTCTTACAATGGTAGGAATTATTTTATTTTTAAATTTTTTTGGCACTGGGAATCAAACTCATGACTTTGTGCTTGCATGCAGGCACTGTGCCACTGAGCTGTATCCCTGGCCCAGGATTATTTTTCATATAGATAAGGGAAGTTACTTCGGTTGCTAAGAACTTGTTCACACCACATGGCTCATAAGTGCGGGAGGCAGGATTTGGACCCTGGACTGTCTGACTCCAAAGCTTTACTTGGGATCACTCCGTAATGCTTCCTATTTTAGTCATTGTTTTATCTGTCTGTATCTTCCACTAGATGATGGGTTCCCCAAGGCCGGGGAACATTTTACTTATCTTTGACTCTGTAACAAACAGATCAGTTTTCTCAGAGTCTGGCATAGAGATCACCTGTTCAGATCATTAGGAGTGCTTGTTAAAAATGCAAAATTCTGGGTCTTTCGCCTAATCTACTGATGTGTACTAAGTTGTGTGCCCTAACTCCCCGAAGGCCAAATCCTCCCTGCTAGTAGCTACATAGGTGATTCGACTTGGAAATGGTGTGTTTACAGATATAATCAAGTTAAGAATACAAAAGGTCATCCTGGATCCAGGATGGGCCCTACATTTTGTGGCCATTGTTTTAATGAGAGAAAGATCTGAGCCATAGAGACACAGCAGGTGGCTATGGGAGGACAGTGAGACAACATGAAGATAGCAGATGGAGGCTGGAGTGTGCACCGACAAGCCTGGCAGTGCCAACCAGGTTCACCAGAAGCTGACAGGAGCGTGGAGCACGTTCTCCAGCAGAGACTCCAGAGGAAGCCAGCCCTCCGGATGCCTTGATATTGGATTTCTCACCTCCGGAATTGTGGGAGAATGAGTGTGTGTTTTTCAGTTCCCCAATTTGTGGTGGTTTGTTACAGAAGCCACAGGAGTGAACACATTTGCGTGTACTGCGTCTGGGAACGTGGCCCCAAGTCCACCTTTCTCAGCTCTGCTGCAGGGAAACTCCTGCCCACTTGTTTGGCTAGTATGTTCCATGGGCGTAGGCTTAGTCTGGCACCCAGCCAAGCAGGATTCAAGGAAGGCACAGTCGGTGGGAGGTGGTTTTATACAGAGGAAGGAATGGGAAGACACCACCGCACATCTTCCCTGTGCGGAGTGGGCTTTGTGACGAGCTCCTACCCATTTCTGCAGAAGTCCTGGCTTCTACCTGCCTACCTGGCCTCTCACTCCATTGCTCTTCCTGCCCAGAGCCTTGTGCTTGCTGTCAGTCAGTTTGCTTCCTTGACTTGCCTCTGGGATGCAGTTTTCATTTAAATGATTCTCCAGGGATCAACTTGGTTTTCATATGTTTACTATAACAAGCTGAACTGCAGCCTTCTCTCAGGCCCTAAAGTAAACATGGCCATGTGTGGGCTGTGCACATGGCTGGTGTTCTCTTCTGGACATGAAATGTCTGGTTTGTGTGTGTGTGTGTGTGTGTGTGTGTGTGTGTGTGTGTGTTATCATCACCACCTTTCCCAACTGGAGAATCCCACAAGTGGCCACATAGTCAGTGTTTATATTTCCAAGATGAAAGTCATGGCCATGTCTCAGCCTGCCTCCTATTACAGAGCATGCCTAATTCAATTGCACTGCTTGGGTGTTGGTTAATTAGAGAACAACCAATCTCATTTTCCTTGAGTATGTTGTATAGAGTGGCCATGGGCAGATAAAGACAGGTAACCCTAAGCCTTGGCCCATAGTCAGCCTTTACCTTTTTGGGGAAGAGCTTGATCAGACATAGAGTTCATCCCTGTGTTCAATCAAGGCAGAGAACCAGCTTGAGGTCTCAGTTGTTGACCTTGACGCTGAAGATATTAAGAGACCGGAGGGTGAATCTTGGCTGTGCATCTTTCTTGGTGCAGATGATGAAAAAAACCAAAGCTGCAGTGGTTAAAGTCAAGGGAGATTAATTGACTGATGTTACAGGTTGAATTTTGCCCCTGAAAAATGCGATCAAGTCCTATCCCCTGCATGACCTAATTTGGAAGATGGAATGGACATAGGGTGAGGTCCTGCTGGGTGGACTCTTCCCGTGACTGATGTTCGTCTCGTATAGGAAGAGGGAAGACACAGTGAAGGCACAGAGGGAAGACAACATGTGACATCAAGCAGAGGGTTGGAGTTAGCAGCTGCAAGTCAGTAAAAGCCAGAGGTTTCTGCAACCACCAGAAGTTAGGACGAGAGAAGGATGGATCCTTCCCTAGAGCCATGCTGAGGGGCATGACCATGTTCACATCTTGAGTGTAGAATCCTGACCTCCAGAACTATGAGAGAATTGATTTATGCTGTGCTAAGTCACTTGGCTTGTGGTAATTTGTTATGGCAATGCTAGGAAACTCACACAGCTAACATGACTAATAATTCCTTGCCTGGGATGGCTTTGGGCATAGTCAGATTTAACACTTGGGTCAGCTTGCTCTCTGCCTTTAGTTTTAGCCGCCCACCCTCTTAAGTTCAAGTCCAGAGAGATCCATATGTATTCAATTCCACAGAACCCCAGGACACTCCATTCCAGTCTGTTGAAATCACTCACCTGTCCTGCAGCAGACTGCTCAGGAGCATAGCAGTGAACTGATTTCCTTAGGCTTGGAGCTGTGCTTACAGCCCTGCCTAGGATTCCATGGACTGAGCCTGGAGCATGGTAGACCCCCAAATAAACCTTGAGGGGCTATTTTCTAAAAGGGGAATAGATGTTAGAGGAATCATTGCACTATGCAACTTCTCTGAGCCTCATTTTTCTTATCTTTAAGAGAACGAAAGTACTTGACACCTAGGTGCATGACTGGGAGGATCAGACAGACTGATGTTTGTTAGTGCCCACCCTGTGGCAAGGGAATGTTAGTACAGAAGCAGAAAGCCTAGGACACAAAACCAGATGAACAGGGAATGAAAGCTTTATATGGTTAGAAGACCTTAATTTTGATGAAAGTTCCCATTGTGGAGTGGTGGAAATGTGATCTGGACTGGAGTTACAAGTCCTTTGACCTGTGTTTCAGTTTCAAGGAGCTTAGCTGTAAGTCAAAGACAGGGTTCACAGTAGGAAGCAAACGTCTATTCTGAGCTCTTTTTATTTAGCCACAGTCTCCATGTTTGAGGGCAGCGTCTGGACCTTGGTCACTCTAGGTCACTGTTGTGTCCTCCCTGATTCCCTCTTCAGGCACCCTCCTGCCCTTTTGCTCTCTGTACCACATCCATGCCATTTTAGGCAAAAGAAGAACAAACATTTAATGTATTGCTCTTCTGTGCTCTGGGAAGAGGGAACTTTGCTCTCTTGCTTAAGGTTGAGGCAAGGATCATCCATTTTT